GGAGCCAGTACTGACCTTGTGGGAAAACTGGGAGCCAGTTTCTGTACCTTGTGGAACACCGGGAGCCAGTACTGTACTTTGTGGAACACTGGTAGCCAGAAATGTACCCTTTTGGAACACTGGTAGCCAGTACTGTACCTTTGTGGAACACTGGTAGCCAGTTTCTGTACCTTGTGGAACAATGGTATGCCAGTACTGTCCTTGTGGAACACTGGTAAACCAGTACTGACCTTGTGGAACACGTAGCCAGTACTGTACCTTGTGGAAAACTGGTAGCCATTTCGTACCTTGTGGAACACTGGGAGCCAGTACTGTTACCTTGTGGAACACTGGAGCCAGTACTGTACCTTGTGGAACACTGGTAGCCAGTACTGTACCTTGTTGAACACTGGTGCCAGTACTGTACCTTGTGGAACACCCGGGAGCCAGTTCTGTACCTTGTGGAACACCGGAGCCATAAATGTACCTGTGGAACACTGGTAGCCATACTGTACCTTGTGGAAAAACTGGTTGCCATACTGTACCTTGTGGAATACTGGTAGCCAGTACTGTACCTTGTGGAACACTGGGAGCCAGTACGTACGTTGTGGAACAACCGGGGGCCAGTACTGTACCTTGTGGAACACCGGGAGCCAGTACTGAAACCCTTTTGGAACACTGGTAGCCAGTAAATGTACCTTTGTGGAACACTCGTAGCCCAATACTGTACCTTGTAGAAACTGTGAGCCAGTACTGTACCTTGTGGAACACTGGTAGCCAGTAACTGTACCTTGTGGAAAAACTGTGAGCCATTACTGTACCTTGTGGAACACTGTTAGCCAGTACTGTACCTTGTGGAACACTCGTAGCCAGTACTGTACCTTGTAGAACACTGTGAGCCAGTACTGTACCTTGTGGAACACTGGTAGCCATACTTACCTTGTGGAACACTGGTACCAGTACTGTACCTTGTGGAACACTGGTAGCCAGTACTGTACCTTGTGGAACACTGGTAGCCAGTACTGTACCTTGTGGAACACTGGAAACCAGTACTGTATCTTGTGGAACACTGGTAGCCCCGTACTGTACCTTGTGGAACACTGGGAGCGAGTACTGTACCTGTGGAACACTGGAGGCAGTACTGTACCTTGTGGAACACTGGTACCAGTAAATGTACCTTGTGGAACACTGGGAGCCAGTACTGTACCTTGTGGAACCCGGGAGCCAGTACTGTACCCTTTTGGAACACTTGGAGCCAGTACTGTACCTTGTGGAACACCGGAGGGCCCGTACTGTACCTTGTTGGGAACACTGATAGCCAGTACTGTACCTTGTGGAACACTGGTAGCCAGTACTGTACCTTGGGAACACTGGTAGCCAGTACTGTACCTTGTGGACACTGGAAGCCAGTACTGTACCTGTGGAACACCCGGGGGGCCAGACTGTACCTTGTTGGAACACTGGAGCCAGTACTGTACCTTGTGGAACACTGGTAGCCAGTACTGTACCTTTTGGAAACACTGGGGGCCAGTACTGTACCTTGTGGAACACTGGAGCCAGTACTGTACCTTGTAGAACACTGGTAAACCCCGTACTGTACCTTGTGGAACACTGGAGCCAGTACTGTACCTTGTTTGAACACTTGTAAGCCAGTACTGTACCTTGTGGAACACTGGTAGCCATACTGTACCTTGTGGAACACTGGTAGCCAGTAAATGTATCTTGTGGAACACTGGAGCCAGTACTGTACCTTGTGGAACAATGGTAGCCAGTACTGTGCCTTTGGAACACTGGTAGCCAGTACTGTACCTTGTGGAACACTGGGAGCCAGTACTGTACCTTGTGGAACACTGGTAGCCAGTACTGTGCCTTTTGGAACACTGGTAGCCAGAACTGTACCTTGTGGAACACTGGTAGCCAGTACTGTGCCTTGTGGAACACTGGTAGCCAGTACTGTACCTTGTGGAACACTGGTAGCCAGTACTGTACCTGTGGAACACTGGTAGCCAGTACTGTACCTTGTGGAACACTGGTAGCCAGTACTGTACCTTGTGGAACACTGGGAGCCAGTACTGTACCTTGTGGAACACTGGTAGCCAGTACGTACCTTGTGGAACACTGGGGGCCAGTACTTTTAACCTTGTGGAAAACTGGTAGCCATACTGTACCTTGTGGAACACTGGTAGCCAGTACTGTACCTTGTGGAACACTGGGAGCCTTGTACTGTACCTTGTGGAACACTGGGAGGCAGTACGTACCTTTGTGGAACACTGGGAGCCAGTACCCGTTTCCTTGTGGAACACTGGTAGCCATACTGTACCTTTGTGGAACACTGGGAGCCAGTACTGTACCTGTGGAACACTGGTAGCCAGTACTGTACCTTGTGGAACACTGGTAGCCAGTACTGTACCTTGTGGAACACTGGTAGCCAGTACTGTACCTTGTGGAACACTGGGAGCCAGTACTGTACCTTGTGGAACACTGGTAGCCAGTACTGTACCTTGTGGAACACTGGTAGCCTTACTGTACCTTGTGGAACACTGGTAGCCAGTACTGTACCTTGTGAACACTGGGAGCCAGTACTGTACCTTGTGGAACACTGGTAGCCAGTACTGTGCCTTGTGGAACACTGGGAACCAGTACTGTACCTTGTGGAACACTGGGAGCCAGTACTGTACCTTGTGGAACACTGGGAGCCAGTACTGTACCTTGTAGAACACTGGTAGCCAGTACTGTACCTTGTGGAACACTGGGAGCCAGTACTGTACCTTGTAGAACACTGGTAGCCAGTACTGTACCTTGTGGAACACTGGGAGCCAGTACTGTACCTTGTGGAACACTGGAAACCATACTGTACCTTGTAGAACACTGGTAGCCAGTACTGTACCTTGTGGAAACACTGGAGCCAGTACTGTACCTTGTAGAACACTGGTAGCCAGTACTGTACCTTGTGGAACACTGGGAGCCAGTACTGTACCTTGTAGAACACTGGTACCAGTACTGTACCTTGTGGAACACTGGAGCCAGTACTGTTTCCCTTTTAGAACCCCTGGTAGCCAGTACTGTACCTTGTGGAACACTGGGAGCCAGTACTGTACCTTGTGGAACACTGGTAGCCAGTACTGTGCCTTGTGGAACACTGGGAGCCAGTACTGTACCTTGTAGAAACACTGGGGGCCAGTACTGAACCTTGTGGAACACTGGTAGCCAGTACTGTACCTTGTGGAACACTGGTAGCCATACTGTACCTTGTGGAACACTGGTACCAGTACTGTACCTTGTGGAACACTGGTAGCCAGTACTGTACCTTGTGGGAAAACTGATAGCCAGTACTGTACCTTGTAGAACACTGGGGGCCAGTACTGTACCTTGTGGAAAACTGGTAGCCAGTACTGTAAACCCTTTTGGAACACTGGTAGCCAGTACTGCACCTTGTGGAACACTGGGAGCCAGTACTGTACCTTGTAAACACTGGGGGCCAGTACTGTACCTTGTGGAACACTGGGGGCCAGTACTGTACCTGTGGAACACTGGTAGCCAGTAAATGTTTCCTTGTGAACATAGGGAAACCCAGTACTGTACCTTGTGGAACACTGGTAGCCATACTGTACCCTTTTGGAACACGGGAGCTAGTACTGTACCTTTGTGAACACTGGTAGCCAGTACTGTACCTTGTGGAACACTGGTAGCCGTACTGTACCTTGTGGAACACTGGAGCCAGTTACTGTACCTTGTGGAACACTGGTAGCCGTACTGTTCCTTGTGGAACACTGGACCCATACTGTACCTTGTAGAACACTGGGGCCATAAATGTACCTTTAGAACACTGGTAGCCAGTACTGTACCCTTTTAGAACACTGGTAGCCAGTACTGTACCTTGTGGAACACTGGGGGGCCCGTACTGTCCTTGTGGAACACTGGTAGCCAGTACTGTACCTTGTGGAAAAACCCGGTAGCCAGTACTGTACCTTGTGGAACACTGGGAGCCAGTACTGTACCTTGTGGAACATGGGAGCCAGTACTGTACCTTGTGGAACACTGGAGTCAGTACTGTACCTTGTGGAACACTGGTAGCCAGTACTGTACCTTGTGGAACACTGGTAGCCAGTACTGTACCTTGTGGAACACTGGGGCCGTGCTGTACCTTGTGGAACACTGGTAGCCAGTACTGAAACCCTTTTGGAACACTGGAGCCAGTACTGTACCTTGTGGAACACTGGTAGCCAGTACTGTACCTTGTGGAACACTGGGAGTCATACTGTACCTTGTGGAACATGGTACCAGTACTGTACCTTGTGGAACACTGGTAGCCAGTACTGTACCCTTGTGGAACACTGGGGCCAGTACTGTACCTTGTGGAACACTGGTAGCCAGTACTGTACCTTGTGGAACCCCTGGGAGCCAGTACTGTACCTTTTGGAACACTGGGGCCAGTACTGTACCTTGTGGAACACTGGGAGCCAGTACTGTACCTTGTGGGAAAACTGGTAGCCATTTCTGTACCTTGTGGAACACTGGTAGCCATTTCTGTAACCTTGTGGAACACTGGTAGCCAGTACTGTACCTTGTGGAGCACTGGTAGCCAGTACTGTACCTTGGGAACAAATGGTAGCCAGTACTGTACCTTGTGGAACACTGGTAGCCAGTACTGTACCTTGTGGAACACTGGGAGCCAGCACTGTACCTTGTGGAACACTGGGAGCCAGTACTGTTCCTTGTGGAACACTGGGGCCAGTACTGTACCTTGTGGAACACTGGGGGCCGCACTGTACCTTGGGAACACTGGGAGCCAGTACTGTTCCCTTTTGGAACACTGGAGGGCCCGTACTGTACCTTGTGGAACACTGGTAGCCAGTATTGTACCTTGTGGAACAATGGTAGCCAGTACTTTTACCTTGTGGAACACTGGTTTGCCAGTACTGTACCTTGTGGAAAACTGGTAAGCCAGTACTGTACCTTTTTGGAACACTGGTAGCCAGTACTGTACCTTGTGGAACACTGGTAGCCAGTACTGTACCTTGTGGAACACTGGTAGCCAGTACTGTACCTTGTGGAACACTGGGAGCCAGTACTGTACCTTGTGGAACAGCTTTTCACTGTGGTCACCTCTGTCTTGACTGTATTTACATATTGTTATTGCTTCGACTCCTTTTTCTCGTATTTCTTCTGCTTCTTCTCTTCATCCTCTTCCTCTTTCTCACGTTCCTCTTCCTCCCCATCGTCACAAACATGGTGTGGGTGTCAGCATCCCCCCCCCCCTCGCCAGTATAACCTCCCCAGCCTCTGCTCCTCCACAGTCAGTGTGCCACAGCTGTGTTGTGGTGCTGTTGTTATTGTTGGGGTGCTGGTAGGGGAGGGGTGCCTGGGGTGTGGTGGGGGTTTGGGGGTGCGGACAAGTAGCCGCAGACAGCGCAGGGAGACAGTCTTCCGTGAATGTGGTCTGCCGCAAGAAGGTGTCCCGCAGCTTGTCTGCTTACTCTGGTATATATCCTGCCAGTACCTGGAGTATATACCAGGAGGGTGTTCCGGGGATCAACTAGTGGTTACTTGTGGGATATATTTGGTACTTGTTGTTGGTGGAGGGAGTGCCAATATTCTGGCACTCGTGTGTGTTGTTGTTATGGTGTTGACGACCCTTTTGCAAATAATTCTGACTGACCCATTTTTTGGGGTTATCATGAGTATTTTACACACGTTACTCTGGTATGTAAATATCGCGAACAAGCGATACAAGAGACTAAACAACCCCAGGGGGAGTTGAGTGATAGCTCTAGGCCTTTCCTGTTGCAATCAACACATCAGGGTTAGCAATGTTGCAGAGAGGAGGTGGTTCCAGCACATACGATCACAGGGAGCGCCTTTGCTGGCACCTCCTCCTAAAGCTCCTCATGTGTTGATTGCAACACAAAAGGCCTAGAGCTATCGTTCAACTCCCCCCCCCCGTGGTTGTTTTGGATGTTGTATGTATGATAATTATACTTACGTGTACCTGTGCTTAAATAAACTTAATTGGGGCATCGGGCGAGATAATGACTTGTGTGGAATGATTTGGGCAGTGCCACTGTGTGTAGGCAGGCAGGAAAGTGTCGTTCATTGCTTCCTGTAGTGACAGTGCCTTCTCTCTCTAAACAGTGCTTCCTGTAGTAACAGTGCCTTCTAGTGCTTCTGTAACAGAATCTTCTTATGCTATAACAGTGTTCCTGCAGTCGGCCCCTTTTTTTGTATGGTGTTACGGCCTTTTGAAATTTCCGTGTACGTGTTTTTGGGATCTGTTTTTAACAGTCCCATTCTTGTGCCTCAGGACCATCCCCCCGGGGGGAGTGATTTGCCTTTCCCCGTCCTTTAACCCCGGGGTGCTTTTGGGGAAGGGGTTCCAAAAGGCCTTTAACGGGGGTTTGGGCCCTTCCTAAGCCCAGTTTTCTGGGCCTTTTAAGAAAAGCCCCCTGGGGGGAGGTGGTTTTGTTTTTTAACGGGGTCCGTATCCCATTTGGGCTCCAGTAGTACGTCCTTATTTGGGTCCCCTAGTACCGGGGGGCTTTTCCTTTTAAACAGGGCCTTCTAGTCCTTTAACAGTCTCCTGTGGTACGGCCTTCTTATGGTTTCTTCGATAAAAAACCTTTTTCTTATTCTTTTTGTTTTTCCTTTATCCCTTCTCTAAGCCAAAAAAACATGTTTGGTGCAGTCCTTTCCCGGAAAACAAATCAGGTTTCCAACCCCAACACGCCCCCCAAGGGCCCAAAAAGGGGCCCCACACCCCCCAAGAACTTCCTCTTGGTTCAAAGGGTCAGTGTTTGTTTCCTGTAAAACCCTATCAGTAAAAAATTTTGGGGTGTATTAATCTAGAGGGTTTGGGTAATTTTGGGGTTTTTTGGGTTGTGGTAGGGTGAAAATTTTGGCAGTGGGTGTGGGGGGGTAGGGGGGAAAATGGTGGTTTTCATTTTTGGGGGGTTTTGGTTTTGGGTTTTCGGGGTTATTTTGAATGGGGAAAAAGGGTTCATTCCCAGGGGGTAATTTTTGGGGGTTTTTAAAAGGGTTAGGGTGGGGGTGTTTAGCAGGGTTTTGGCGGTTTTAGTTTGTTTTGAGGGGTTAAGGTTATGGTTGTAATTTTTGGTTTTGTTTTTGTAGGGGGTTTTTGTTTAAAAAATTGTTAATTTCTTGGGGCATTGGGTTTAGAAAATGTTTGTGGGTGGTTTCAGTGGTCAGGTTTGGGATGATTTTTGTGTGAAGTGGTTTCAGTGTTTCCAGTTTTTGTATGGTTTTAGTTTTTATTTTTGGGGGTTTGGTGGTGTTATGGTTTAAAAAAGTGTTTGTAAAAAGGTGCCTTTTATGGAAGGGGTTTTGTAAGGTTTTATTTTTTTAAACGTGTTCCTGTGGTACGGCCTTGCGGGGTGAATGTTTATGAGTGTGATATTTACGCCATATGGAACATGCCATAAAAATGGCCTGACATTTCTTCTTGGGGTCTTTTGGAGTAAGTCAGGGGTTGGTGTAGTTTACTGTGGAAGTGAGTTTAAGTGGAATGGAGATGTTGTGGAGGGGGTATTGTCATTGTAGAAATGTTTGGTATGTTCCGGGGAGTGGTGCAGTGAAGTGTTGTAGTGGGGGTAGGTGTGTCATGGTAGTCAGTTGGGGGTTATGGGGGTTAGTGTGGAAAGTGGTGGTAGTGGTGGCATTGGTGGTAGTGTTTGGAAAGTGCAGTGGTGCAGTGGTTATGGTGGTAGGGGTTAGTGGTTGCAGTGGGTCAGTGGTGTAGGTGTCTAGTGGTCTGGGGTGCGTACCTGGGGAAAAGGGTTTCAGTGTGTTGTGGTGGAAGTGTCGTAGTGGTGGTAGTGGTGTGCAGGTGTTGTCAGTGTGGAAAAGGGGTGGTAGTGGGGATGGTGTGTCTATGTGCCTAGTGACAGTGTCATTGTGGCATGGTTCCAGTGTCCGAAGGCCTGTAGTGGTGTACAGTGGAGCAGTGCTTCTATGTGGTCAGTGGCATGTACGTACGCATGTGTAGTGGTGTTAGTGGCTGGAGTGCTGTACAGTTGGTGGCAGTGACAGTGGCCTTTGGACCTAGTAGAGTGCTTTGTATGTGTAGTGCTGTGCAGTGTCTTAGTGGACATGGTAGCTTAGTGACTTATTGGCTGGTGAGCAGTAGCTGTATGGTGTGCAGAGTATTGTATGTGGTAGTGTAGTGCAACCTGCGTAAGGACTTGTTAGTGCTCTGACAGTGTTCTGTAGTGGTGGTAGTGTTCATATCAGTGCTTTAGTTGGTAGTTAGTGTTTGTACTGCCTGTAAGATGGTAGTGGTTTGTAGTTGTGAGTACTGGTTGCTAAGTGTGGTATGTGTGTAGTGTGGTAGTGGTTGTAGTTGTGGTAGTGGAGTGGTGTAGTGGTGTAGTGGTGTGTAGTGGTGGTATGGTGTGTAGTGGTGGTAGGTGGTAGTAGTGGTTTGTGTGCAGGGTGAGTGGTGGTAGTGGTGGTAGGTGTAGTGGTGCAGTTGGTGGATGTAGTGGTGTAGTGGTGTGCAGTGGATTGGTAGTGGTGGTAGCTGGTGGTAAGGTAATGGTGTTAGTGGTGGTAGTGAGTGTGCAGATGCAGTGTTGGAGTGGTGGTAGTGTGTTAGTGGGGGTAGTGAAGTGACTGGTAGTGTGACTGCATGGTGGTAGGTGTAGTGGATGGTAGTGGTGGACAGTGGTTAAGGTGGAGTGTGAGTGTGGTGTGGTGATAGTGGTGTAGTATGTGCAAGGTGCAGTGTGCATGGATGGTATGCGTGTGTAGTGGTGTAAGTGGTGTTGCAGTTGGCCAGGTAGTAGTGCGGGTATGGTGGTATGTTGATAGTGTAGTGGTGTAGTGTAGTTGGTGTATGGTGCTTAGGAGAGGAAATTGGTGTGGTAGTCGGGTGGTAGTGGTGTGTAGTGGTGGTATTGGTGTGCAAGTGGTGGTAGTGGTGTGTAGTGGGTAAGTGTGGTAGTGGGTGTAGTGGTGGTAGTGGTGGAGTGGTGTGTAGTGGTGGTATGGTTGTAGTGGTGTGTAGTGGTGGTAGTGTGTGAGTGGTGTGCAGTGTGGTGATGGTGGTAGTGGTCTGTAGTGTGTGTAGAGGTCAGGTATGGTGTGAGTGGTGGTAAGTGTGTTGGTAAGTGGTGTGTAGTGGTGGTATTGGTGGTAGTGTGTGTTGTAGTGGTGTGTACGTGTGGGTTGTGTGTTAGTCTGGTTGGTAGTGGTGGTAGTGAGTGTGTGTAGTGTGTAGTGGTGGTATGTGTACATGGCAGTGTGTAGTGGAGGTAGAGGTAGCAGTGTTAGTAGGTGTAGGTGAGTGGTGTGTAGTGGTAGGTAGATGGGTTGTGCAGTGCGTGGCAGTAGGTGGTAGGGGTTAGTGGTGTAGTTGTGTAGTGGTGGTAGTGTGTCAGTGGTGTGTGTAGTGGTGGTAGTGTGTGAGTGGTGGTAGAGTGTGTGTGTAGTGGTGTCGTGTAAGTGGTGTAGGTGGTGGTAGGTGGCTAGTGTGGAGTGGGTGTATGGTGTGTAAGTGGTGGTGTGAGTTGTGTAGTGGTGGTAGTGGTGTGTAGTGTAGGTAAGTGTGAGTGTGGCAGTGTGTAGTGGTGGTAGTGGTGTCGTAGTGGATGGTTCAGTGTTGGAAGTGTGTGTAGTGTCTGTGAATAGTGGTGTGTAGTGGTGGAGTGGTGGTAGTGGTGTGTAGTGTGGTAGTGGTGTGTAGTGGTGGTAGTGGTGTCAGTGGTGTGTAGTGGTGTGTAGTGGTGTAGTAGTGGTGGTATGGTGCTCTGTAGTGGTGAGTGGTGAGTATGGTGGTACGGTGGTAGTGGTGTGTAAGTGGTGTAGTGGTGAGTGTGTGGTAGTGTGTAGTGAGTGTGGTAGTGGTGTGTAGTGGTGGTGAGTGGTGTGTAGTGGTGGTAGTGGTGGTAGTGGAGGTAGTGGTGTGTGGTAAGTGTGAGTCGGTGTGTAGTGGTGTGGTAGGGTATGGTGGTAGTGGTGGTAGTGGAAGTGGTAGTGGTAGTGGTAGTATGGTGGTAGTGAGGTAGTGGGAAGGTGGGGGGTAATGGTTTAGTGGTTGTAGTGGTGTAGTGTGGAGTGGTGTAGTGTGTAGTGAGATGTGTAGTGTGTAGTTGCTGTGTAGTGGTGGTAGTGGTGGTAGTGTAGGGTGTATGGGGTAGTGGTGGTAGTGGTGTGTAGTGGTGGTAGTGGTGCAGTGGGTGTAGTGGTGGTAGTGGTGTAGTGGATGTGTATGGGGTAGTGGTGGTTGTTTAGTGGTGGTAGTAGTGGTGTGTGAGTGGTGTGGTAGTGTGGCAGTGGTGTGTAGTGGTGGTAGTGGTGGTAGTGGTGTGAGTGGTGGTAGTGGTGGGTAGTGGTGGTAGTGGTGTGTAGTGGTGTAGTGGTGTGTAGTGGTGGTAGTGGTGTAGTGTGTGTAGTGGTGGTAGTGGTGTGTAGTGGGTGGTGTAGTGGTGTGTAGTGGTGTAGTGGTGGTAGTGGTGTGTAGTGGATGT